TTTACAAATATCTTATAATCCACATTTAAAAGAGATATAGGCCTATAATTCTTTGGTAAAGTAAGATCTTGATCTTCCTTTGGAATCAATGATATAAAAGCAGTACGCCATGAGGGAGGAATCTCTTGACCCTGTAAAATGCCATTGAAAAGATCACCTAATGGTTGAATCATCTCCTCCAATAAAGCTTTATAATAAACAGCTGTTAACCCATCCGTACCCGGTGCTTTCCCTGGTTTCAATTGTTGAATTGCTAGCGAAATTTCCTCCTTAGTAATTAAACCATTAACTTCATGTTTCTGATCCTCTGTCAATTTAGGGAAACTAACCTCGCTTAGATATTTATTTATCTCTAAAATTTGCACATTAGTAGATTTATATAATTTTTGATAATAATCCAAAAAAGATTTCTTAATCAGTTCCTTCTGAGAAACTAATTTACCCTTGTAATTTATTTTATCTATTGTTCTCTGTCTCTGTTTCTTTCTCAATTGATAAGCCAGCCATCTCCCTGGCTTGTTAGCATTACAGAATGTATTTTGTTTCATAAACAATAAATTGGTTCACTGACCTTGCCATTCATCAAGAGGTGGATTTCATTCCCAATATTCTTTATCAGTTTGGCAGCTATGTAACTGTGGCCAGGGGGGGAAAAATATATGTTTGATCCAGTGCTTTTTTTGTTAAAAAAAAAAAAGGTGTCGGAACTCACACACATCATACAACCCGCCTTGCCTACCCTACAAGATTCTATCCAAAAAAGGTGCCGGAACTCTGTTGTGGGCGTTCTATGAGAAAAAAAAGCCCTAGTTTGATCTAATATGTTTGATCTGTGAACTTTTAATTCCTGTAAAGCATCTGGTTCCATAAACTCTGGAAGAAGATAGATTTAGATTCATATTGTAACCTTTGTTGTTAAAATTGTAATTCCCTAACTGAAACTACTTTCCCCAATTATAAATGATAACAGTCTTTATTCCATTATAAAATGAACGTACAACTTCCGTGTTTCTGTGTAGAAAACATTGTTTGAAAAATGAGCCATGTAAACTTTTTTGCAGCTACTAAAATTACTAGATTTTTCTAAAAATATAGAATTAGTCATATTGTTTAGGCTTACTTTCTACTGCATTTTTTAAAAAAGAAAAATAATTATAGAACAAAGTGACCAGTTGCAGAAATAGTATCTGAGATCAATGTACTCAGTTATATTCCTTATAATGAAAATGTAAAGTTTTCCCTCAAGTTTTAGCCTTTCTCTTTAAGCTACTTTTGTAAGAATTGCAGCTTTTATGGGTACTAATAAAACATTCCTGTTGAAGTGGGGGATTCCATTTCAGTGATAGATGGTTTAGGTATCCCTCACTCATATTTATTATCAATTATTATTTTCTCCTCTCTATTCCATATAACATTAGTTGACTTGAATGGGAAAAGAAATTCTATTAAAACCTCAGTGGAAAGAAGATGCTTTGAAAAAATAGAATCAAATATTATCCTGCCTGATTCTTAACAACTTTTTTTCCCTTACTCTAGTAGACATTTACATTGCTATTCAAAATTAACTTTTTCAGTTAACTTACTTCTGTGAGTAGATGTCTCTCTGAAAGAGGAAAGCCCACACTAATTTATAATACTTAGTAGATCAAAATTTCTATGAATAAATTTGTAAACAAAATAATGGATATAATGAATAAAATAACCTTTTTTAAAAAAAAACATACATATTAACTGGTCTCTCTCTCTCTCTCTCTCTCTCTCTCTCTCTCTCTCTGTGTGTGTGTGTGTGTGTGTGTGTGTGTGTGTGTATGTGTCTATAAATCTCTCTGTCTCTCACACACAAGCACACAAATACACTAGACTAGAGAAATACTGTCATATGAATGAACAACTATCAATATGAGATGCATAAACAAGGGAAAATGAAGGCCAAATTCATTTGGGAGAATGAAGGAAGTTGTCCTCTTTATAATAATGATACTTTTATCAAAAGCATTTGATACTATTTAATAGCTGCCAGAGATGAGCAAACCTGTTCAATTTGCCTACTAATCAGCAATTACACTCTTCTGCGGCAAGGTAGAAAAGCAGGTAATTGTACAGATTTTCAAAACGCCAGCCTATCACGTCCCTTCCATAGAGTGAAGAGAGTGATGGAAGGACAATGATTTCATCAGGCATCATACTTTCTCTGTGAGAGTTACTTCTTATACTACTAAAAGGGTGTCATAATTATCAAAACAGTGACGAGATGTAAAGGGGTTGCCCACACATTGCATAGAGTTTTGCCTTCCTAAAACTTCATAGCTTTCTCATTTGAAAATAGACCACTTGCTGGAATGTCAGTGTGGCAAACTTCTCTGTCCTTCTAATAAATATCATCAATCTGAGCTATTTATATTTGCATATATTTAACGACACTTTTCTGGATTTACATTCCTTGGACAAACTGTTTCCAATTACTTGCAAAGAATCCAACATCTGTCCCTAGGGTTCCTCCTTGGTTTTGAGGGGAGAAAGTGACCCCATGGTTGATGCTGCTTCTCTCCTCAATTTTTGGGATGCCTTATATGAAATTTCAGGACAGGGCTTGCTACCAAGAAGTATGAGTATAGCCACTTATACATTAGTGCTCAGCCCAAGGAAAAGTAGAGAAGATCAAGAAATATTGCTCCCATTCTGGCACTGAGACTCCTAAGATGCTACTAGAGCATAACTGCTAATAGTACAGGGCTTTGAATTCCAAGGGATATTAATCTCAACTTTTAAGCCAATACCACTTGAAAGAAATTAAATAAAAGAATATGTGCATTTGATTTGATCTGAATTTAATCAAATATAAAAGCAATTATCTTTGGAAAGGCCAAGATGTTTCCTCAAAAAATGTATTTTATCAGTAACCACAGCTGCTTCATCAGAAAACTGTTGCATAATCAAAAGTGTTCTAAAATAAAAAGTTACAGAGAACAGTCCCAAATTGTTTATTTTTATCTCTAAATATCTCAGAAAATCAATTAAGAAAAGGTAGTGAAGTCTAGAATTTATTAGAAAGTTTAAATCAATATTGGGTACAAATATTTCCCCTTTTTAATAAAGTCCACACAAAGAATAATAATTTCATGTTAATAATGCTCACATGAATATAAATTACCTTATTTATAACCCATACAGTGTCCATACAGAATATGACAAAGTACTCCTTTTAATTACTTGCACAATCTGATTCACATAGCTATTTCAAGCTCCTTTTCCTACATGATAGCAAAGTATGGATTCATGCAATCATGCCTTCACCTTGTTCAGACAGCAATAACATGTAGAAATGATCCTGCCCCAAATTACAAAATTCTCAGTGTCACAACCTAAGAACATCTAAAAGTACACAAAACACACAAAACAGAGTAATTCTGTGCTCTGTTGAAACAAGGGGCAAGACAGCGTGAAATTAGAAGGAGAATATTAAAATAATGTCATCTTCTTGCTAAGGATTATAAAGTGGATCCTGGATATGATAGCTTAGTAGATTTCCGCATTAAGGAAAGGAATTGGTTTAAATAATCTCAGATCCTTTTTAACCACCAGCTATAAATTCTCTGAAAGTTGTTTAAGAAGTAGTTAGTGTTTGTTATTAAAGCATATGCTGGTTTGGGTCACCTTGTCTGAGTTTGTGACAAGCCTCATCTTCAGAGAAAACTCCTGCTGAAGGAAGGTTAAAGTGATATTTATTTCCCCCCCCCTCCCTTTATTCTTGCAAAAGTGTTTTGGAGGGCTGCACAGAGAAGAAGGGATTAATGAAAATTGACTGCATATACAAGTAGTCCTTGCTTTTACAACAGTTCATTTAGTGACCGTTCAAAGTTACAATAGCCCTGAAAAAGGGGACTTATGATCGTTTTTCACAGTTATTACCTTTGCAGCAGCCCCATTGTCACATGATCAAAATTCAAATGCTTGATAACTGGTTCATATTTATAACTGTTGCTGTGTCCAATGTCATGTAAATCCAATTTGCGACCTTCTGACAAGCAAAGTCAATGGGGAAGCCAGATTCACTTAACAATCAGGTTACTAACTTATCAACTGCCGGGATTCACTTAACAACTGTGGTGAGAAAGGTCATAAAATGGGCCAAAACTACTTAACAAATGTCTCATATAACAACAAAAAGTTTGGTCGTAAGTCGAGGACTACCTTTATAGCTTTTGGAAAGAAGATTAGAAGCAGCTTCATTGCTTTCATTATCCCCAATGTGTCACTGGGGAGAAACTATACATGCAGGAGAAAACAGTCAACAGCTATAGATGTAACTTCCCAATAAAAACATATTAAAAGATTTGACAATGTCACTCTTATCTGCAGGTATCCTGTTTTGGCCACAAAAAGATATTAAAATAATTGATTAGCTAATCCTTTTCTAAGGATTCATATTCTTCTATCTCTGCAATACCGTTTAGTTGCATTTAAGTTTCCTTTGTAATAACTTTAACTTGCTGTTTTATACAGTAATTCTTTTAACATTTTGGATCCATTATCCAAATAACAAAAGGTTACTCTTAAGCTTCTTCTGAAAATTGGTTGCAATTTCAATAGTTAAATTATGTAATAATATCTTATTCAATTAAAAAAATGTTCTATTCAGTGAGTGAATGCATACATCTTTAAGGGGTTTAGACATTACATTATCAGCTATTAATTACCCTCAATAGCTTATATAAGAAATATATTATTCAAGTCTTCAGGGCTACTGTATTTTGTTCAGAATTTCAAATGAAGCTAATTGAAAAATATCACTGTAGTAAATTGTTACGCTAAATTATTCAATCATTGAACAGTTATCTTTAAGGTTATTTTTTTTAATAAAATTAAATTATATACTAATACACTGCAGTGAATTCAGTTTTAGTCACTTGAAACTAATGGAGCAGGATAGTTGTGACAAACTCCAAATTCAATCCAGACTATTTAAAAGTTCCCAACTTTCACACAGACAATTAAAACTGTTACAATAAAGTCAATGGATAAAGTATAACCAAAAATCTTCCAATAAGATGAAACCAAGGTTCCTAAAAAGAGCAAGGAGAAAAACAAATACATACAATATCTTTCAAATCATATGCTGTTTTCTACAGCAGCAAGGGATTTAAAATACACGGTAAACAAACACAGATTAAAAACTACTAAGATGAGCACTGTGTATAACAGATAAAAGTTATCTCGCTATGTTAAGGATCCTGATATTTAGAATTAGAGTCATATTGTAAATATTGATAACAATTCAGATTCAAGGAAAAATTAGAATTTTCCTCTTTATTTTTATACAATGTCTATATTATTACTTTTATGTACTACAATCTATTTCTCTGGTACTATCAGGATTTTTTTTTTTCAGAAGTGAGTGTTACATGCATCAAGTTTTGTGTAATGCTAGGTTGTGTTTAATAATATCTATATTTGTGTCTAAACCTAAAACTGACCACACAGAATCATTTTCTTTCCCTAATCAAATATATTCTAGAAATGCATCCAACAGTAATTTTGGTTGACTGAAAAAAAATGACCATTAGATAAACATACCCAAATGCTTTCCTCCTGCCGATATTGCTTCCAGTTCCTTCCACTATCACTAAACATTAGGAGGTAACTGGTTACCCAGTTTGAGCTCCCATATCCACCTTGTGTAGCAACAGCAGTAATTTCAGTCCTTTCACCAAGATCGATTTGGAGCCATTGGTACTTATTTGATACAAGTGGAGTCCAACCACCAGCACCTTTAATGGTAAAAATAAGAGAAAACAAAAAGATGAATCAGTTTACAGCAAAAGCATGGAGATGTGAGCAACAACATCAAAACAAAAGTCCATGACATTGTAGCTGACCCATACATAAATTTCTGGAAAATGCATTTCACTCACTTTCACACAAATATGAAAATGTTAACTGAAAAAGAAATAAAGGCAATAGATTCAATAGCTTGACTCTCTCAGGGGTTGCCACAAAGAAAAAGGAGTCAAGCTATTTTTCAAAGCACCTGAAGGCAGGACAAGAAGCAATGGATGGAAACTAACCAAAGAGAGAAGAAACCTAGAACTAAAGAGAAACTTCCTGACAGTTAGAACAACAAACCAATGGAGCAACTTGCCTCCAGAAGCTGTGAATGCTCCAAGACTGGAAGTTTTAAAGAAGAGACTGGACAGCCATTTGCCTGAAATGGTATAGAGTTTCCTGCCTGAGCAGGGGGTTGGACTAGAACAGGGCTTTTCAACCAATGGTACGGATACCACCTGTGGTACATTGGCACCTGGCAGATGGTACACGACCATCCTAGAAAAGTGGTAGTGGGGGAGAGGAATGAGCTGAACTGGTGGCAGCACCGCACAAGCCTGAACGAGAGATGGCTGGAGCTGCAGGGCTGTCAGGGCTCAGTGGACGTTCTAGGATCAGCTCCAGGCTCCAGTTGGAGATCGGTGCTGATCCTGGTGCTTCTGCTGAGCCCTGAAGAAGCGCCAATCAGCTGGAATGTTGCAGCATCTCCAGGGTTTTGTGATTTACATTCAGATGCTTGGCAACTGATTCATATTTATGACGGTCACAGTGTCCCAGGGTCATGTGAAGTGACCAAAACCTGCTGCAACCACCCAGCAGATGGGGGAAATAAAAACCAAACACTCCCCACCCCTGCTGCCAATCCTCAACAGAAATGCTCAACACAGTGAAAACCTCGGACAGGAGGAAGAGTGCGGCCAGGCGGACAGGCAGGTGTCTTGCTCTGCTGTGGCTTGGGGGGCACTTTTTTCAATGCCATTGTAACTTTGAACAGTCACTAAACGAACTGTTGTAAGTCAAGGATTACCTGTACTTTATCACTTTTTTCCTTTTTTTGGGTCATCAAGTTTTTGACACCTTGCTAGGCGACTGGTGGTACTCAGATGTTGCCATATCCTAAAAGTGGTACAATGGGTGAAAAGGTTGAAAAGCCCTGGACTAGAAGACCACCAAGATCCCTTCCAACTCTGTTATTCTGTTATTCAAAATAAACACAAAAATGGTGTTCCCATTAGGCCAGTAAAAATGAAACTATCTGTTATTTTGTTTTTATTCTAACTTTTTTATGGAGCTCAAGTTGGTGTACAAGGAAGCTCTTTCTAGGTTCAAACTTCATTACAATCATGAACCAGAATCAAATAAAAATATACATAAAGCTTGAAATATTATTTTCCTTATATATACTTCAAAAACTATCAATATATACAGTTTAATCACTTTGTCCTATAATGGTAAGATCATTTCCTTATGGCAAAGTAACAAAAATTGGCAATTAAATAGGTGTCACTGAAATCTGTATCTGCTAACTTACATAAAATTCTCTTTTCTATTGGGCACATTTTAAAAAAAAAACAGCAAACATTTGTGTTGGACTGAAAAACATGTGCCATTGATTCAGTTTCACCTGGCTTATGTATGGTTAACTTCTGTGACAATGGAATGTTATTAAACCTGCCTTTCAGAATTGCCAGGGAGAAAGCATTAAAACAAACTCTAGAGAAGGTTCATCAATAAATATACTATGCAAGAGAAAATAATTCTTTTGTCAGAATGAATTGTTGGGTCCTCTAAATGGTTGATGCTCTATGGTTTACTCAGTTCATTTTGAAGTGGAATATTGCCAATTAATTGTTTCCTTGGCCTTATCTAGCTCATATATTAAGCAGTCTTACTTAATTACCCATATAACAAATTTCCTGAGTGTCAAACTGCGTCATGCCAAAACCACGCCCACCCCTGCTCCAGCAATGGAGTCACGATACATCACAACACGTCACCTGATGTTGCGAGTTTGACACCCCTGATTTACATTATAGAATAAGAACATAGAGGAACCCAGTAAATATTGGAAAACATATTTAAGTAGTATGCAAACAAATAAAAAACATCCCTAATTCAAGTTGCAGATTGGTCACTCAGAAGGTAGTATAAATCTTAAGATTTTATTATGATTTATTACAAGTTGTGAAGGATTGCAGTCTTAAACAAATATATTGTAGCATCTTATATCTTTTTGATATAATTCATAGAACCACCCATTTTCTGACATTTCCCACAAAATGGTCAGGCAGCTGCAGTAAAATCAGCAAAGAGATTGTGGCTCCTTAAATATTTTTCTCTCTCTCCCCCTCTCCCTCTGTGTGTATACCCCCATACACACAGAGGGAGAGGGGGAGAGAGAGAAAAATATTTAAGGAGCCACAATCTCTTTGCTGATTTTACTGCAGCTGCCTGACCATTTTGTTTGTGTGCCTGAAAAGCTTTTTATGTTACCAAAAACTTATATATACAATTTGTGCTATATATACCATTTGTTCATACCATTTGCACTTCTGTGTACATTGTACATATATCAAAAATAAATATTTATATTATACATTTGATAATCTATAAATTAACACAAAACCTGAAACTGTAGATTAGAATTACTGGAAGACTGTAATGTAAAATTCTGTTTGAATGTTTGGGAAAAAAAAAACATGAAGTCTAGTTTGACAGCAAAATTAGCTACTCAGAGGTGAGATCAGCATTGCTGAAAATATTGGAGCATCTATTGCGGATATTTTAATTGGGATTCTTGCGTGAATAAGGGCATTGGACAATATGGCATAAACAGTTTCTTATAAGTCTATGATTTTATGAAAAAACTACAAAATCCGTAAGTAGATAGGCTGAAGTAATACCAGATGTTCATTCACCTTTCAGAGCAGGCAACCTTTCAGACAATAGTGGTGGAATCAGTGATTTAGCTCTACAAAAATTAATAAAACATGTGTGGATACTTAAATAATTGTTTAGTCAATAAACACAGTCTAAACAATGAATAGCTTTCATATAACAATCAATACAGCTCCAAGCCAGATGTTTATAAATGACATGAAAGTTGTTCAGCTTCGATAAGTAACTTGCAAAAATGAAATTACACTATGTAATGTAAATGTTTGTGAGATTTTTACCTTATTCTTCCTTCAAGTTAAATTCAGGAATCACAGACTCATTTGTTCTCTCCCCCCCCCCACAAACAACCTATGTTTTAGGTTGAGAATGAAAGAGTGATCTAAAGCTATCATACTGAGCCCAATGTCTTGTGCAAGATTAGACAACAAAAAAATAAATTTCTACATGGGAAATTTTTTTATAAAGCTCATTATGTCAATATGAACAATAATAATACCACAGAATAAACAAAAATGAGAAAGACTTGCTTAAAGTAGAAGAAAATATACATTGGGGAATTTGGCTTGTCATGTTATACTCACTATTTTTTCCAAATAGCAAGAAAAATATTTTTATAATTCGGAAGAAATATCAGCTCGAATGTTATAATTGATTGATTGATCAGTTGATTTCAAGGGATCAGATGCTTTGGCCATTACCTACAGGACTTAATTATACCTTCAATAATTGTAAGAAATAGGAAGACACCGTTTTCCAATATCTGTCTTTCCAAGGGCAGAATGGGAAGGTAGAGAGTATTATCTATATTCATATGTTATGAATGAGCACATTAGTCAATTATGGTTTTGCTCAGTGTCCATTTTACTTAGTATTTAGTATTTGTAATAGTATTTAATTTGTAATAATCACTTCCTACATTTGCACTCAGTCAGTTTCTACATCTGATTTTAAAAAATACATACAAACATTTCTATAATTCTGCATGGGCATTCCTGTACTTTTCCCTCAGTTTTGTAGGTTTTCACAATGTGCACCTTATCATAATGTTTTTGTACACCATGCTGCTGATCATTGATAGAAGTAAATTATAAATTTTAGAATATTAAACTAAACTAACCTCTAGAGGACCTGTAAGGAGAATAGAGACATGGCATAATTTTTCAAGGACTTTCTAATTCTATAGTAGAGATTCCTACAAGATGTATGCTTACATAAATTAGTCAATATTTTGACTCCCAATTAAACTAAAATATCTGCTTGATAATTATTTGCACCAATACTTATTTGATTGGGTGTGGTGGTGATAATTATCTGTATTTATGATTAGATGTGTGTATAATGAGTGTGGTAGTGTTGATTTCTTTCTTTTCTTTATTTTCCTAAATAAACCTCAATAAATAACTCAATAAATTAGACTAAACATATTTTTTCAAATATAATTTTAATTAAGAATTTAATTGCAATAATAAAAACTAATACAAACTAAACTAAAGAATGGAAAGAAATAATAAAATGTGCAAGAAAAAAGAGGAAGAAAGAAGAAAAAGAAAATAATAAAGAAAAAATAAAGAAAGAAGTAACTTCTAATCTTGATTAGAACAAGGGTAAACAAATTTAATAACTCCTCACCCCTATAAGGTAAAAGACATGTCTCATCACTTATCTATAAGCAAATCCATAAAGCGTCAACTTTTCAATCCTGGTATCAGAAAAAGTCTGTAAATATTTGACAGAATCTTGCAACAAAATAATACTAATACTAATACTAATACTAATTGCCTGTAAGCAAAAACTGGTGGGATCATAAAATAGAGAAAGTCATAGAAAATGATAAAATTAAACTGCTCTGGGACTTCAGAATTCAAACAGACAAGCACCTGCAACATAATACCCCAGACTTAACAATTGTCAATAAGAAAGACAAAAAAGTCTGGATAGTGGATGTGGCAGTGCCTGGAGACAGCAGAATAGAAGAGAAAGAACTGGGAAGATAACAAAATACAAGACCTACAAATAGAAATAGAAAGGCTGTGGCAAAAGCAAGCAA